CAAAGCAATTTTCTTCCCTAGTAGCACTGAGAGAAATCCTCTGCTGAAGTGCAAACCAGGCATTGTTTAAACCTTTAGTCTAACACTGACTTAGATTACATACAGGACTCATATCTGAACTGTACTTTGATGGGGTTTTCTTGTTGTTATTAAAAACAGGGGGTAAGGTGAAAGCACATATAGATGGGATGGTAACTTTTGGGGGCTTGGTGCAATTAGAAATATTAAAATAGTCCTTTGTAGAAAACAATGAGGTAGTTTTCAGCACTTGCTGTTCTTGCTTGTGATGTAGGATACGCTCTTTTGAATAACTAACGCCGCCCCTCCCTTATCTGGGTTTTCTTACTTCTAGGTTAACTACCTGCAAAACTAATCAGATCCATAATCTGGAAGGGAAAAAAAAAAAGGTTAATTTAAAAAAAAAACAAGAAAAAACCAACAACAAAAAAAACCCCAATTTGTAAATACTTAGTCTTAAATACAGTCCAGTATAGCTGCTTACTGCCATAGCAGGATTCATACCTTGGCTAGAAAGAAGACATGGGGGGAAGGCACATGTTATGTCTGTGGAATGAAACATGCCATGGCCTGTTCCCAGTCATTGGCACCGAACCGCTGACACTGTTACGCTGTTCAGGAGGTCCTAGCACAGTTTTGCCCCAGGCTGGCTAGCTCCCCACCAAGCAAACCCCAGATTCTGGGAACCACCAGAGGCACCGTTCCCTATCAGGAGTTTGGCAGCAGCCACCCTGTTTTGCAGGGTTCAATAGCATGGATGCAGCTCATTACATGCCAGTTGGCCTCACGGCCAGAAAACAGGGCTGGACACATTTAGTTGCCTACCGGCCATGGCTACCAGTGCGCGAGTCTCACTGTGAAGTAGACCACAGACACCTGGGCGACAAGACTGATAAGGCGCATCTGCTTGGCTCTCCCTGTCGAAGCTTTTACTCTGAGTCCCATGTAAAATCCTTAGATGCAATTGCTGGTGCTGTCTTTGTCTCCTTTGTTTCCGCTGGTCTTGAGACACTGGATTGGCACCACCGCTCCCCAGAGGGCAGATAAGTGCTCCATGGACAAGGGTCAACAGAATGAGGGTCATAGCAGGAAGGGGTAGTGTTCGACTCCCTTTTTCCCTTCTCTTTCCATTCCTCTCTCTCTTGCAGTAAAGATACATTAATTTCTGCTTGCTCCTCCATCCCTCTGTCTTTGACCACTTAATCAAGTAGATGAAAACCCCAATCTAAATAAAGCACTATGCTCCAGTTTCTGCTTTTGCATGATGCAGCTTAGAAAGTGTAAATTTCTGCAAGAAAACTGACCAAAAAATGCTTTAAATGGTTCATTTTCCATAAAAGCCTTTCTGTTAGTATGGAAGTATATACTCAAAATGAAATTAACTTTCAATTGGGGGCTGTCAAATGACTTTACGCAATCCATTTCCTAGCACTGAATTCTCTGAAGATCTGTATTTGAATATATTTAGATTATTTACTGTGTCTTGGAACATCTCTGATACATATTGTTCTCAGTTCCTGGTGCGATATATAAGCATAAACATATTTTCCTGGTATCTTAGCAGACCTGTCAAATGGTCATCATTCACAATCTGAATGTAGTCTTCACTACCACTTCCCCAGTGCGCATGGACACCTTTAAATGACTTGACAATATATGAAATGCAGATTGCGACATACCTGTGAGATTAGTTCTTTAGTTATAAAATTCAACAGCTTCTTTTCTTCTTTTGTTTCCAGGTTGTCCAATTGTTTTAATTCTTTCGTGGCCACTTCAGTTATATTATTAAAAGCACCATATTTGCCATTGTTCTGTCTTCCTTATACGTAACATCCTATTATCTAACCATAACTGGGTATCTAAAACTATTCTCTGACTTAAACAGAAAACACATTTCCCGCAAAAATTACCATCTGAATGTTATGTCCTCTGTTATCAGTCAGACTGCTGACAGGAAGAACTGTAATTTGTATTTGTTGCCTCTGGCTTGAGGCAGGACAGGGGTTTAGTCATGGCCCGTAATGCAGCGTGAAAAAATAAGGTCTGTCACAGCTATAACGCTTAGGATCAGTGATGACGCAGGCTACCACTGACCTAGGTTATATGCAGAAAGCATCTTGTTTCAGCAAAACACTGCGTGTTGGGAGCTCAGAGACATCTTAGGCTTTTGCATAGAAACCAACTTTTGGGCATATTTTAAGAACTTTTTTTATCCTTTAACCTAAGTATACAGAATAGCTTGCACTATCTTCCTTTAAATATCATGTCAGAATATTAAATTTTTATAATTTGATTTTGCCTTTTCAGCTGTAACTTCCATTTCATACATCTTTACTTTTATACAATGGAATCTAACTAACTGCTGCATTGACAAATAAACCATCTAATGATTTTAAAGAGTACATTTCCTTTGTCTCAGAAAGAAATACTGTCAGATAAGCAACTTGATGAGTTGCCTAATTACTGACCAAAACAGTATCTACCTCCAGAAAACACAGCTGGATTTGCCTTAGTCTTAGTTCACGTATGCACATCTGGTACTACCGTTGGTTACCTAGCAGTTTTTGCAGCCTCCCTTCAAGTGTGCTCAGAGCGATGGCACCACGATCCTGAGAAGTGAGGAGACTTTCTTAACAACCAGATGACAGCTGAGGAACCCGATTTCAGAACGGATCAGGATACAAACGAACTTCATGTCCTTCAAAGGCAAGAGCAGCTGACAAACAACAGATTTGTGAAAGTCAGCAGATGTTACAAGACTGGTTTCAGGCATCCCCTTTGGAGAAATAGCATCAAAGAATGACATCAAACATAAATGTACATCAGCTTTAGAAACAACGTCTTTTCAAATACATCATCAGGAGAAATGGTAACATTAGTTGGGTAACAAGTTTGTTAAAAATTACTTTAAAAAATGAAGTAGTATTTCAAACCACTTGTTTTGTTTCTCCCCCCTTTTCTTGAACACTTTTCATAGCCCACAATTAAAAGGCTCATCAGATGCAACATTTTTTTCTTACCAAAAGTATTTCTAAGCTGAAACTAAGGCTAAAAAACACCAGCCCCTGAAGGAATTACAGAGGAATCAAACTAAACTTTGCAAGAGACATCCAGACGCTGTGGCCTATTAGTATAACTACCTCCAGCATTGTAGGGCATAGTCGAATTTCCTTTAAAGCTAAAGCTTTTGTTACTACAGGTCTTTATAATTCACAAGATTACGCCTTTTAAGTCTTAATACCATTGTTTCACCATCATATTCAGTGAGGGAGGGAAAACAGCCTGAACAGTCATTCTTTTATTTTACTGTCAGTGTAAATGCCAGTACCTCCAGGGGAAGGGGGCAGAGCGAAACATGTTTCACCCACAGTAAACACAAATGCTTGAACTTGCTTCGGTCATAGCTTTTTAAGCCTTGACAACATTCTTCACAGCAAAACAGCAAGACTACTACCCTGCACCCATTAACACTATGTGGGAATTACACAAATGTAAAATACACTTTCCCGAGAAAAATGCGTTAGTTTCAAACCAGCTGCAGCTTTTTAGACAAAAGCATAGCCTTTAAAAGGGGGCACAAGGCTTGAACCGGGATACGTGATCAGGGTTTGTATGGCAGCGCCCACGTGTCGCGTCTGCCCCTTTCGGGCTTCCCAACAAACCCC